TCAGAGCATTTATATTCCATGCTCCAGGTTTCCTTCCGGAAGCACAGGTCAAGGCAGCAGCCTGCTTAGGACAAGGAATCTGGGAGTCAGGCCCCCATCCTCCCCTCACTTCTCTGGGACTTGGCTTCTTCATCTGATAAGGGCACCTGTTTTTAAATCTGACGGTCTGAGTTCAGTCCTTGGGAGTCACGTGGCGGAAGAGATCAGAATCCCATAAGAAGTCCTTTGACCTTCACACGTGGACCATGACATACTCATTGTCCTCTTCCACGGGTAAACGAATACCTGGACCAAAAAGGCTGCTGCCATCATTGTTACTGGGACATAAGACTTCACCGAGCCCCCTTCTTCCCTGAGGAGATCCCAGGCAACATCAACCGTGCCAAGAGCACGTGCTGTGGAAATCTACTTTTTTTTTTTTTTTTTTTTGGTTTTTCGAGACAGGGTTTCTCCGTGTAGTCCCACCTGTCCTGGAACTCACTCTGTAGACCAGGCTGGCCTCGAACTCAGAAATCCGCCTGCCTCTGCCTCCCAAGTGCTGGGATTAAAGGCGTGCGCCACCACTGCCCAGCGTGCTGTGGAAATCTAGTAGTCATTCCATTTTTACTTTTTTTTTTTTTTTTTACATGTGTTCCGTTTGTGTACCTAAGTGCCACGCCCCACACAGCAAATGACAGCCTCCTGGCTGCCCTGTTACCTCCTCCTGCACTGCCACACCTCCAGCCTTGGCTTCTGTCTTGGTTTCTGTCCTGAATGCTCTCCCTGTCTTTTTCTATTCCTCCACAAAGACTTCCGTAATCTAGTACTTCGACAATCGAGATTACGACTTCTCTTTCCACAGAGTGTTACTGGTTTTCATCCAAGACAGTCTTCCGAGACTTGTGAGTTATTTGTATTGTGGGTTCATAGAGGCTTGCCCTGTGCCCCTCTTACAGGGAGCAGAGCACATTTTGATTGCTCCTGGTGTTTAATAAGGCACACCCATCTCAATGACTCATCATACTACTCAATGCAGTGTTCATTGGTTCCATAAGGTGGCAGCAAAGTCCTCTTGTCGCAGCCCAGCTTTTTAAGTGCTGCCAGGCTGGGACCAGAGGCACCAGGGAAGCCAGGGCAAAAATAGTTTCAGCCTTAGTTGCTGCTCTCCTGCCCCAAGTCGTGTTTGCTTGCTTATATGTATATCTATACGACTGTGTATGCCATATTGTGTCTGTGAGGGCAGAGGACAACTTGCAGGAGTCACTTCTCTCCTTCCACCATGTGGATCCCAGGGTCATCAGGTTTGGTGGCAAATCTCCTTACCTGACAGACTATTCCACCTGCCACCTCCTATTTGATTTTTGACAGGGTCTTTATCCCAGGTTGGCCTCAAATTTTCTATATAGTTGAAGATGACCCAGAATATCTGATCCTCCTGCCCCTAACACCCAGATGATACAGGCAGCATGCTTGTATGTGTGCATGTGTGTGTGTATGTAATAGTGTGTGTGTGTACATATGTGGTTGTGTATGTGTGTAGGTGAGAGGTGGTCATGGGAGGGTGGGCTTGATTGCTTTTTACCTGATTTATTTTTGTTTGTCTGTTTGCTTGCTTGTTTGCTTTTTTTTTTTTTTTTTGACATCAGTTCTCACTGTACCTGAGACTCATCTTTTGGACCAGGCTAGGCTGGTGGGCCAGTGAGTACTGAGCACCTAGGATCTGCTTGTCTCCAGCTCCTTAGCACAAAGAGTACAGAGGGATACACTTAGCTTCTCCGTGGTTGTTTTTAAAATATGCCCAAATGTCCCCTAACCCTTGTCCCATTGGTGTGACCCAATTTCCTAAGTATGAGCAGCCTCCCTGACTTGCTTTAAGAAACAATGTAGTAGTAGTATTGTAGCAGTAGGGCCAGATTAGATATAATCTGTCACTTAGCTTATGCCTTTGACAACATGTATCAACCACTAGGCGTGGGAGGAGTGAGGTACCTCCAGCCTCAAGCTGCCCAGGTGAAAACAGCTGAACAGAAGAGAGACAGCTACCCATCCACTGCTAGCTCTGCTCAAACCATAGCTTGTGAGTGGGGTAGATGCCATGTTAAAACTCACCACACCAGGCATTCAGAATGGGTTTCAAGCCATCATCAGCCTTGAGATGGTAGATGGGGTGGATGGTGGGAGGGGAGGGTACCAACATAACTGAGGATGACCCTGCATTTCTTTCTTTCTTTCTTTCTTTCTTTCTTTCTTTCTTTCTTTCTTT